GAGGGGACAGTGTGTGCCGGGGAGGGGTCTCCTGGGTGGTGGACACTGGGGAACGGCCTGCGGGGGGCATGGAGGTTCTGTGGGGGAAGGTTGGAGCTGACCGTGGAGGCGGTGGGGAGCCACAGAGGACTCTGGAGCTGAGACTCAGAACCAGGGCGGTCACCAGGGAGCTGGGGGCTGTGCAGTGCCCACTCGGAGGAGCAGAGCCCTCCCACCCGCCGTCTTGAGCACCGCGTCACCCGCTCTGCCCCCAGGAGGCCGGGCGAGGCCCCGGGAGCCAGGAGGACGGGTGGCAGTGAGGGCTCAGCCACCTCCCGCCTGCTCAGGCAGCGCCCACTGCCTCTGCTGACACCCCAGGACCAAAGCCCCCAGATCCCTGCGAGGCCCGCGTCCCTAGTTGCTGCCCCAATTGTGACAAATGTGGATGCCACCGACTCTGGCTTCCACCACGGGTCCCCAGGGATGGAGGAGCCGGCAGGCTCCCGGGTGGTTCGCCTGAGTCATGCGGTCACCGCTTCTCTTCATCCTGCCTCTGTGGGACAGTGGCTCATCTGCTCTGGTGGACACTGGTGACATCCCTGCCCAACAGGCCTCCTGAGAGGTGTGGTTCCCAGGTTGTCAGGTAAAGGGCCACTAAGAACAGTTGTGCAGGTTGTTGGCTGCACAAGTATGCCCAGCCAAGAGGACCAAGAGGGGCAGGAATCCAGACTGGCCTGTGCTGCCAAACTCTACTTCCTGGCAGGCCTGCACCCTCCAGAGGGGACCCCTTCTCTCTATTCAGCAAAGCCTCTTAGGACGCAGTGGTGACCTGCTGGGAAGGGGTCCTCCACCCCTCCTCCCCTTTGCCCCAAATCCACAGCAGCAGTGACAGCTGCGTCTCTCCTGCGAGCCCCGCTGTGTCTGAAAGCTGTGCCTCTGCCACCGCGCATCAGCTTCCAACACCTTGGCAGAGTCCCCCCTCAGACTCTGTTTTTGTGGTTGACGACGGGGACTTTGAAGTGAGGAAGACCTGGGATGGAATGCCAGACCTGCCCACTGTCATCTCTAACGCAGCCTCAGCAGCTCCCTTCCGTCCCTGAACCTCACCGTACTCGCCTGTCAAAGTCGACTGACCTGCAGCCTTTGCTGTGGGCAGGCGCCCTGCGATGGTGCCCTACACCAGCGACAGGCCATGGCCCGTAGCAGGAGCTGGGGAGGGGAGGAGGGGAAGGAGGTGTGGCTGGGATTGAAGTGGAGAAAGGGCGGAGGACTGGGGTGGAGGTGAGCTTGTCTGCCCGGGACCACTGGCAGGGCCTCCGTCCTCCCTGGGATGTCCCCTCCTCAGCCGTTGCCCCCACCCTTTCTGCGGCGGGGGCCGGGGGCTGAGAGAGCCAAGGAGCAGACAGGACGCTGTCCCTGCATGTCCCTCTCTGGCTCAGGACGGTCCTCACCGATATTGGCGTACGCCTCCCGGGTCTCCTCGTCCCCTTCCATGTCACACAGCAGCCTGCTGAACTGGTCGCAGTTGATGGTGTCCGTGTCGGGCTCTGGGAGGAAAGGACCCGGGATAAGCGGGAGGTGGCCTCGCAGAGGGCCGGGAGGCCAGAGGCCGGGAGGCCGGGAGGCGGGAGCTGTCCGCGGTGCTGACCGGCCTCCGCCTGCCTGTCTGCTCGCGGCTGGGGGGACCGCCCACCTGAGCAGGGCTCGGCCTCCTCCTCCAGGTCCATCTGGTCGTAGAGGTGGTAGAGGTGCAGGGGGTCGGCGCTGCTGTTGAGGAGCTCCAGGTAGCCGCCCTCCAGAGGCCCCGGGTCCACGGTGGCGCAGTGTCCACTGCCTGGGAGGGAAGACGCCCCCTGTGAGGGCGGAGTCGTGGGAGCCAGGACTCCTCTGCTTAGGGAGGCGGGAGGCTGTGGAGCCTTAGGCAAGTCACTTGACCTCTCTGAGCGTCAGCTCTCCCTCGCTGGGCCTGGGAATGAGCCTCCTCCAGAACCAGCCAGGCCCGAAGGGGGCGGGACTCCGGGCTCCCTGGCCGGACCTCCCCACGGGGGTGCCCTGGACCTCCTGGTGTCCCCGGAACCATGCTCCTACAGGCTTAGGAAGAGCTCAAGAGTCCCCCGAATAGGAGTCTGCCCTCCACTTCCAACTCCAGAGGGGGCGGGCGGTGGACGCTGGTCCTCTGCCCAGGAGGGGCCTGCCAGCTGCCCAGCTCGGGGCAGAGAGCCCAGGCAGAGCCCAGGAGGGCCAGGCCTGGTCTGGTTGGTTTTAATGTCCCCCCAGGAGCTCGTGTGCTAGTGCGGAGGGTCGGAGGTGGGTGGCTGCCTCACCCATCAGCGGGTCAGCCACTTGAGGGACTAGCAACTATTCACCTATTTATCTGCTTATTTGGTGCTGGGGACTGAACCCAGGGCCTGTGCTCGCGAGGTGAGTGCTGTACCACCTGAGCCGTGTCCCCAGCTGTCCCCAGCCCTTTTAAAAAATACTTTACTAGACACAGGGTCTCACTGAGTTGCTGAGGCTGGCTTTGAACTGGAGATCCTCCTGCCTCAGCCTCCCGAGCTGCTGGGATCACAGGCGTGTGCCACCCCCCAGTGGGACTAACAATCTAAAGGGACTACTGGGTGGGTGGGGCATGCTGGAGGGAGGAGGTCTCTGGGGACCCGTCCTCAGGGATTATGTCTAGTCCCTGGCCCCAGCTCTCCCTCCCTCCCTCCCCCTCTCCCTTCCTTCCTTCCTTTCTTTCTTTCTTTCGTAGCATTAGGGATCAAACCCAGGGCCTTGCACATGCTAG